GTGTATTGAAATATATAGAATTTCTAATAACTAGAAATAAATAGATGCTTAAATGCTGAAACTTTGCAGATTAATATAGGCAATATTTTAAGGAAAATGGAAACAAAAAGGACATTTAGAAAGTTGAAAACAATGGTTTTTGTTCAGTCACCAAAGTTAAGCAACATCAAGCCTGGTCAGTACTTAGTTGGGGTTCCACTTGGGAACACCATGTACTGTAAGCAACCTCCTACAATCTGAAATATATTTTGACTTTAAATAACATACAAAGTGTTGATAAGCCATAAAACAATCATTGCAGATTAATAACTTAATGTATGCTTTACATTTTTTAGTTTTTATCTTTTTCTGTAAATTACAGGTTAATTAAATTTGATTTTTAAGTTGGCATCCACTCAGTAGGGATATTGTATCTTGTTAATAATTTTCATAAGGACATTTTTATTTTGTCTGAAACTGATTAATTAACAGAATATGTTATTATAATGTATCCACTATAAATCAAATCTGTTTAATTTGTTTGTTTTATAAAATCTTAATTTATATAGATTTAAAAAATTTTTCTTCACAAACTTCCATTGTCAGCAAAATATCATTTAAACCAAGCAAACGAACCACCTAAACACAATTGTTAGAATTTCTTCAATTAGGTAGAATTTGGAATTATTTCAGTCTGTTTATCTTGTATTTTGCATTTTTTTTCTTTTTGGGCAATAGTTTGAGGTTGTTTACTTGAAAGATATTTACTGTTGTAACTTTATACTATTTTGTTGGCACTGAAGAAAGAACTGTATACCTTGCTATTTAAAATAAATGTTTTCAGCATTGAGATATTATAGAATGTGTTAAGAAACGGTATATTTTTTCTTTTACCCTTTTCTTTTCCATATCCATCTTTTATTGTAACATTTCAAATGACTTTATTGTGAAGACTCATTACTTAAAATGATAATCCCAGTTACAAGCAATTTCCAATTTAAGTTTCCAAAGATTTTTAAAGATTAAATACATTTTAATTTTCTGCTGAAGTTAGTCATCAAAGTCATTGGTTTTGTGCTCCTAGTAGGAGATATGGAGGGCCTTTCTCAAGCATTTGTTCTTGAATGTCTGCATCCTTTTTCCTGACAGGAGTATCCAAGTCTCACACCAGTAGATGAGGATGGATACAATCAGCAATTTTTAGAGCTTGAACTTGGTATAGAAGCTGATGTCGCTCTTCCATATCCTTTCCAGTCTTACCATAACTGCTGTGGTGATCTGTGTGCAGGTTTTCATGTTGCAGGCCCCATCTTTTGACAGGGCTGCTACCAAGTATTTAAAGCTGAACACTTCCTCCAGTGATTCACCATTCCGAGTGACATTGTCACTGGTGTTGCTTGTGCTTTTCACCATTACTTTGTGTTGAGTTCCATTTTATATGTGCTGGCTCTTTCATTGAGTTTGTTGATCAGGTCTTACAGTTCACTGTTACTGCCTACCATAAGGTCAATATCATCATAGATGTTACCAAACATTAGGTTTTTAAAATTTTTATTTTTCAATACATTGAGTGTATTGTTTTCTAAAAGTTCTCTTTTGCGTTCATCTAGTCCTTAGTTTCTTTTTCTTAAATGTTCACCCAATACAAAGCCCAAAAGCCACTCAAGGTAGAGGGTTACTGAATGAGGTTGTTGCATGACATATAAAAGAAGGTAAGAATTGCAGATTATTAGAATATCTAAGAAAGATAATGGTTGATCCCTAGACTAAGAGGTTAAGATTGTCGCTATTCACCTATGTATTTCTTGCAACATTTTTTACAGTCTTTTTTTTGTAAATTCCTGCTTCAGGTTTAAGGTTGTTATTTTGTTTTGTGTCAATTAAATTGCTTATTGTTTTTGTAGTTGTAATAAATTTAATATTAAGTTGAAATGAATTTATCTAAACTTATGTCCATGATCATATACTTTTTTTTTTTGTCTGAAGGGCTTTTTGGTTGGGTTGTGAACTTTTCAGCATCGCTTTGCAGTACTGCTTAATAAAAAGTTGTTTTTAATTTTTTTTTTTTTTTTAATTTATTGGTGATTTTCATTAGAAATTAATTTGCAAATAAGAGAATTCTGTATCAATTTGATTAAGGCTAATATATTGTCAGGTGAAAAAAGTGGGTAAATTTTTAAATTCTACTTTTCAAAACCATAAAATGAATGATTGACAAATTTTGTTTTTCAGTCAGCTATTAAGATGTCAGAATAAAATCATGTATTTAATAGAAAAAAGAAAGAAACTTGTCTATCTGGTTAAGACTTTAGATAAGATGACTTTAAATATAAAAATAGATGGCAAAATGAATTTCTTACAAAATAATTAAATTTCTAAAGCTTTTAAATAACTTGATCAGTAATATATTGAAGATTTTTCTTTGCAAACAACTGCCAATGTTCAAATGCAGCCACCCTGTAAAAGAAATATTAAAAAGCTTATATCTTGATTTTGTTGAAAACTGAAAGACATTCAAAGTTTACAATGAAAAATTTCATTATATCTGCTTGTGTATTTATAATGTGCTTTAAATCTTTAGGATTTCAAGATTTGTTTTGGGGATGATGATTAGTTTTGGCTTATTGAAAATAAACACAATTTTTTATTTTTGTATTTTTTTTATTTTTTTATTTATTTATTTTTTTTAATAGTAATATTCAATTTATACAAGACCCCAGAGTCAGTCAAAGTAGAGGGTTACTGAAAGAGTTTGTTGCATGAGGAGCAAGAGTAACAAGAGTTAAGAGCCACAGTTGATAAGGATATGTGGGAAAGATAATGGTTAACCCTAGTCTTCAACAGGTTATGATTATAGTAGTCAGGAAAGGATCCTCTTGGGACTTTCCCACAAAGCAGTGGTTAATGGGAAGAAGCTGTTTGAGTAGAACTTATTTCTCACTAATGGAATATAAAAGGAATGGGTGATTTGCCTTCATGTGCAGAGAATGGCAAGTCTTAGCTGGGAGTTTAGATTTGGTAGAATTAAGCAATATAGCTTGTCTGACTATTTTCTATGGAAATAGTGATAGAGTAACAAGAGGCTTGCAATGTTTTGTCTGGGAAAGGGGAATATTGATATTATTATATTAAGTGAAAAAAATATTACATAACAATATTTCCTATAGGCTATACACATCCAAAAATGTCTGAGGATTACTTTATAGGATGAAACTTGAAGTAATGGTGGAGTTTTAGTCTGTCATTTTTGGATTGGATTCCAGCTCTATTCTAGTTTGGTTCTTTTCCTGGAAATTTCTAAATTCTTGAGCATTTTGTATCTTTAAGTTAAGGCTGGTTTCTTTTTTCTCTGGCATCTTAGGATCTGTTTCTTTTGCATTTTTGCTTTTGTTTTCAACATTTTATTAATAACTAATGAATTATACAGGGTGGATCAAAAGTTACTTTACTGTTATAGTATAAAATAAAAATTTGAATTCCAGTTGAGTTCATTACATTCACTTAATTGTAAATACTCTTGGGAAAGGTGTATCCATCTCTTCTCCCTCAGTTATGGATTAAATAGTAGTGTAGACTGGGCTCTCCCTACCCTAGTTGGCAGTTAGTCTAGAAGGACAACAGTGAATTCAAAATATACTGGCACAGTGACAGATATCTTAAACAAGATCTCTATTAGGTTTTGACCAAAATGCTTCATACCCCCCTCCAAAAAAAAACAAAAAACACAACTCCTTGAACAAGAGTTGTGCAAGTATCCATGTAATGGATTATGTATTAAGGATCCATGTAATGGATTATGCAACTATTGCATTTTGTTATTGTATAAACAAATAAAGCTAAAACTAACAAAATTTAAAAAAAAATTCATTTAAAGAAATTAAAATTAAAATGCATGCACAAGCTGAAAAACAACTGTTTGAGCTGCAAATATATCTATTTATAAAGTAGTATTATGGTAAAGTAAATTTTGGGACATCCTGTTTTATTTATTTATTTATTTTTATTTATTTTTTTATTTTTTTTTTTTAAATCATTTCACCCCAAGCAAGGCAATAATATCACTAAGATGCAAGGGGCTACTGAAAATGAAAAAGAATAAGAATTTAGAAGGAACTAGAAATCCAATCCTAAACAAGAAACAATAATGGGTAGTAAAATAGGAATAGTTGACTGCATTATAGATTTCTTCAAAATGATCCTAAAATTAATACACAAGGTAAATTTATTAGAGGTGCATGCAAAACTTAAACTTGATTAATGGAAAGGTCGTTAGGAAAACTTTGAGGCCATGTTACAAAAATTGAATGAATTATATATTAAACAATACTGACAAGGCCCATCTGTCAAACTTTCTATTTAGTTTTTTTAAATCTCCAGCTAAATTATCTTAGGACTTAACTTTCCAAAGTTCTTTTATTGCATCCATCCAAGTAATTTCAACTGCTAATACACTCATTATCAAAATTAAAAAGTTGGACAGACAGCCCTTGTCAATATTGTTTAATAAAACCTATTTGAAAGAATTCTTACTGCCTAAATACACCTCTCACTCACTCACTCACTCACTCACTCACTCACTCACTCACTCACTCTCTCTCTCTCAGACAGTTAAAGATTAACAATGTTGATAATTGTTTCATTAAAAGTACATCATCATGACAGTTTTCTTGCTCTGTATAACACTTATTTTACCTGTTCTTGTTTTGATCTGTATCATTATTTAATATTTCTTCTATTTAATAAGGTTGAAATTCTGAAGTAAAGAAGTGCAAATTAACAGTTCAGTTCCAGCAGGACATCTCCTTACGTTGTACTTTCTCCATTCTCTAACATACTATTTAACCCATAGCTAGGGGGAGGAGAGGAATTCATATCTTCCCCAAGGGTATTTGTGCATAAATGTATGTAACAAACTTGCCTGGAATTTGAACTCTGCTCTCCAAGTTCATATTCCGCTGCTCGGTCAATGAATGGCGAATGTGTCCTTATAAGGAAACTGCTAATATTATCATTACTATAAGCATTTATTATTTCTGTTATCTACTTTATCCAAAATGTGTTAATTTATTCTCATATTTGTTTCTTATTTTCTCTTTTTTTTCTCTTTTTTTCTCTTTTCTCTTTTTTCTCTTTTTTTTCTCTTTTCTCTTTTTTTTCTCTTTTCTCTTTTTTTTCTCTTTTCTCTTTTTTTTTTTCTTTCTCTTTTCTCTTTCTTTTCTTTCTTTTTCTCTTTCTTTTCTCTTCTCTTTTCTTTTCTTTTCTCTTCTCTTTTTTCTCTTTCTTTCTCTTTCTTTTCTTTTTTTCTTTTTTTTTTTTCTTTTTTTTTTCTTTCTTTTTCTTTTCTTTTTTTCCCTCTTTCTCTTTTCCCATCAACCAATTCAAAGTCTGTTTCTGTATATCAAAGCCCTTTATGGTTGTTGTAACCCTTCTTGATGTTTTTGCTTTGTCTTTGTTATTTAGTTTTTCTTTTTACTTTTCTATATTTACTGCTCTTAGGGCATGTGGTACTGCTTAAACCACTCTACACCATTTCTTCCCTGTCTCAGTGTCTGTGCTAAGAGATTTATTACTACAGGAACTCCTCTCTATCTCTCTCTCCTAGAAGATTGCCATTCCAGTGGAGTCATTCAGCCAAGAACTTGAGTTTCAACACTTCTCTAAACCAGAAATGAATTCATTTCCTTTGACTGCTCACCACCCTCCTCACTCCATCCCATGATCCCTTGTTTCTATTCCCAGACATATGAAGACAACTGATGATGGAAATGTCTTCTGTGTTTGTTCATTATTGAGAAATATTATTTGTTGCTTTTGATGTCCAACTACTGCAAGTGTGCCATAACACTGTCAAGTGATAAAAAGAAGGAATGAATTTCTATCACAAATGGCTTTGGGTAGGGCACACTGACCATTTTCAGTGGGTGGAGAATACCAGTTCCTTCATTCTCCTGTGCTAAGCAATGGAAAATTAATAAACACCTGCTGGCAAATGTCTGGTGGCAACATCTTGAAATAGATGAAAATATTTGTTCTAGTTCTCTCAGAAATTTGTGTTAGTTTCATTCTTACCACATATTCAACTATAAGAAGAAAAACTCATTTTAAACCAAGGCAAATGAGTTTTTCTTTTAACACTGTTGACTACTTGTAAAATGTACAATTTGTGCTAGTTTCATCTCTTACTGCATGCTCACCTATAAGAAAGAAAACTCATTTGAAACCATGACAAATGCATTTTTGGCAAATCTGGACAAACATTCCTACAATAAGATGGAGTGTCAGAAGGATGATTTTTCCCATGATTCCACTTTTAACTACCTTCACTCTTTGGTAATATTTGTTTTAAAAAGTGATGATTAATTGTAATAAAACCTAGATATGAAAGTGAGTTTATACATTGTGATAATAAAATAAGCACATCCCATATTCCCTCTAACTTGTAACCATCTGCTATAATAAAATGTTTAAAGCACTAAAGCTAAATTAGTCAATATTGTATACATTTTCTTTGTTCTTGAGAATTGACAACCAAAATAATAAACACTATTGTTTTATTATATTTATTGAAATGGTTGGTAAAACATTGGCTAATTACCAATAGATTCAAACTTTAAAATGGTAAATAACTATTTCCTTATAGTTGGTTCACACATTTTAATAATTTAGTAAATGTTTACAAAGTTGTGAAAATAATTTTTTATTCATATTTATTTCTTTATAAATTAATAAATAATAAATATTACATTGTATTTAGTTCTAATTGTATTAGCTTTTACAATGTTGTAAATACAAAATTATTCTTGTAAATAATCTAATAAAGTATTTTATTATCAATTCTCAAGAAAAAAAAATGTATAAATTCACTTTCATATATGTTTTATTCCAATTCAAATCATCAATTTTTAAAACAATGAACATTGCTGAAGAGTGAAATGTAGTTAAAAAAAAAAGCTGTGTCATGGAGAAAACTGTCCTTTTGACACACCTTATTGCAGGCATGTTTGTCCATCTTAGTAGAGTTTTCTTTTTAACATTGTTGACTACTTGTAAAATCTCCAATTTGTGCTAATTTCATCTCTTGCCACATACTTACCTATAAGAAGGAAAACTCATTTTAAACCAAGAAAAATGATTTTTACTTTTAACACTGTCAACTATTTGTAAAATCTACAATTATCCATATATGAATGTCTACTGCAAATCTGCTAAAGTAAAAGTTTTCAAAATTTCCCTTTTATTTTTTATTTATTTATTTTAAATATGATTTGGCTATTATCGATTTATAATACTGGTAACCTGAGGGTACTTTTCTGCCTTTGTAACTTGTAATGACTAATCAGACTTGTCTTGGGAATAGTGCATCAGATTTAATATAAATAAAATGTATGTACAAAAATGTTTGATGCTTTGTATAATTAGAAAAAAGGCTCACATTGGATTTTTATTAACTTTAATTTGACTTTTGTGTTTCTTTTTCTGTGTAAACTAGTTTGGTACACTGTTGCTTTGCTGAAGGCAAGATGATCAGATTTCAATTCTAAATTGTTTATCCATTTAAACTGAATATATTTATTAGAAAATATTCAGTTTAAACACAGAAGGTGTTATAAAAATTACTTCAAAAGGGCTGCACATTTCTACTTAGACTCTTTTCCTGTTTCCAGTAGTTATTCCAGACAGGGAAATTTGCTGTAATGACACAGATGTCCATTTCAGTTTTTTTCAAATTGTGTAGAGTATGCAGGTTTGTGTGTGCACATCTATATTTTAATTCAATGACAACCCTAAAAATATTTCTACAAAATTTGAAATAATTTCCGAAAAAATAGTAAAATAAAAAGATTATTTGTAATTACCTGATTTTTATTGTTAGGGTTTAAAAAAATTTAATTTTTTTTCTTTTGTTTCCATCTTTGATTTTATTGCTAAGCCCAAGCTAGGGTTTATCCAGACTGAATAGGAGGGGAATGTATTATTTCAAGGTTTTATTTCTAACTTACTCAAATTGTGTATGTATACTTGTGCATATGTGTGCATTAAATGGCATAAGCATATGTAAGTGACTCACATACAATACAAATATATACATATGCACATGCAAAGTCACATGTAGACAGTGTGTAATGGACAGAAAATCGGCTCATCTTTTATAATATAAATTCAGTGAACTTAAAAATGTTTGTTTGCTTTATTGAAAAGAGCCTTTATTCAATAGGACATAATGACTTTTATTTCTTGTAAAAAATACAATGCAATGTTTGTGTCAGCTTTTGAACTTGTTTAACTTTCTTGTCAGTTGATATGTGTATGACTTGGATATTGTAGATTTTGTGGCATGTAAATTACTTTCAGCAAATGGTTTATAGGATGGTTTTGAACATCTGAGATCCACAAGTCCTTTCAGTATGTGAGTGATCATGGCTCTCCAGAATTTCCTATCCTTGTAGTTCTTAGCACTGTTTTTATTTTTTATTTTTTTACTATCCTTCCAACTCTGATCTGACACACCCAGTTACACGAGCTCGTTAGGTAGTTTACTTGTTTCTCTCTTCAATATGTTCTGTGAATATCAAATTCTCCAAGCTTTTGTTCCTTATTATGTATTCTAGAAATTTCAACTGTGTTTTTTTGATTCTAAGTATAAGTGTCTTTATTTTTGTTTTCCTTTTCCTTAAAACTTTATTGTTGCTCACATGCTCTGTCCATGGTATTCTCAGCATCTTTCTGTAGAACCATGTTTTTTTTGTTTCAAGTTTCCTTGTCATTTGCGAGAAATTGTCCATCATTCACTTGCTATCATATAGCAGTTCAGCACTCTCTTCTTTGTTTTACAAGTATTTTAGCTCACATGCTCTTCAGAAAGACCTGTATCTAAAATTTATACAAATCATGAGGAAACAAACAATTATAGTTTAAATTCTGTAGAAGGTAATAGCAAATGAGTTTTGTAAAATAACCCATAAACCAATATGAAAAACGCTTGAATAATGACTTAATTTATCCAACTGTAGAGTGTTGGATGTATGTTGGCTATTCTGCAGTCAGGCAATATGAGAAGACCAGAATTAGAGTCCGGCTTTGATTTATTGAACAGCTATAAACTGTATGCATAAGTTTCAAGTATCATAGACCAGCATGAGTTATTGCCTTTACGCAAAGAAAGGGCTACTGTTTCTCAGGATCTGCTATTGTTTCTTGCTGAAGTGCTATGGCTCTTTTACAGAAGTACCCAAAATATGCATTGTATTATCTGAAAAAAAAAAAGTTAAACTATTAATTCTTTGGATTAGGTGTCAGCTGTATACAACTGCTTTGTCAGATCAATGATTAGAAATGGCTTTGAATCAATGAATGAAGCCTGGTGGGCTTAGTGAAGACTATCCTTCTTCAAACCATGTGGGATGGCACTGCAGAATTACAGAGAACTGTGCCAAATAAGAGAAACCACATGAGAATCTTTTCAACAACTAAAATGGATGGCACATGTAAATTGATGAGAAAATAATGACATAATCAAGATGCTTACAATCCACACTATCTCAAACAAAATGTTAGGAATTAAGTCTCTATCAATACTGGAAAGAGCAATAACAGTTACTGGACTTCCCTGAAAAATTGTTTTAAGAGAAAGATTTTATACATTTCAACTGAAAGTAGCACTGGATGAATGCTGAATATTTCCTTATAAGGAGGTGGCTGATATTACCATTACCAATGAATTTTTTCAATCTGTTATAACTTTGGTTTTTACCTGTTAACACTATTATATCTGCTCATCACCACTGCTGTATCTGGTATTGCCCTTGTGGACTATTATTATATTGGTGTAATCCTGGCCATAGCAAATAAATAACTTCTGGTTATTTAAAACTATATCTCCAAACTACTCTATAAACTATGTCCTTTTCTTTTGTTTATAACCCTTCTTGATGTCTTCTTTAGTATGAAGCTCTCAAATATGTGGTTGGAGCTCATGTCACTACAAGTAGTAAGAATCTCTAACAAAGCTTATGTAGGTTGGTCCTTCCATATTTTGAGAGAATATGTATGCTATTTCCTTCTTCCCATTAGCAAATAATTGCCATCCAATAAAGTGATAAAAATAACTTCTGCTGTGCTCAGGAATTGGTATTTCACCATGAATGAAATTTCTCGTTTCAGCCTTTACCTTCTGCAAAATGAAGGAGTAAGCAATATCATTATATGGTGGATGTTTTTTGCCATAACAGAATTTTTAACAGTTGTTGCAAGCTTTAATTGGGGGGGGCAGTTTAAAATTTCTGCTAATGTTGAACAGACTCCAATAGAGAGAAATAAGTATTAGCTGGAGTCCTAAATAATTTCTGTTTTTGTTCATCAATATAATTCTTCAAAAAATAAAATACAATTATATTTTATTCATCACCATTGTTTGCATTGACTTGTTGCCACTTATCAGGCATATTTTTTGATACCTTTTTGAGTAAAATTTCTTAGGTTTTGACGTGAAAAACTTTTCTATAAACTTTTGCATCTGGTTTTCATCAAAGGAAGTTTTCTCCATGAAAGCATTTGGCAGCGATTGGCAGTGGGAGGTAATAATTTGTTGGTGCAAGGTGATTATAGTGGGTGGCATAGAACAGACCAACCACGTATGAAAATCT